ACCATAACTAAGGTATATGTGCTATTATTATATGTAGAGGTACTACTATTAGTGGTGTTCCATATTTACCTCTAATAGGTTTATAAGCCATAGTTTTTTCTCAGTGCGTTCATACAAAATATTGAGGTTCTCGAAGTGGGTCTTTTTGTTTCCACGTGAAATTTTCTGCTGAAAGCACCCCTTAAAATGTAAAATAAGACGAAATAAACATCAAAATTTGCAGTTTTAGGCAAAATTTTTATGTCCGACCTCTCTGATCGACTTGATTCACTGTGTGACGTCAAAATACGTCAAGGTCTGTTGAAAAATTAAAAGCCTTATGTAATTTAAAGACGGTTACTGATAGATGGCGCGCTCTCTAAACACCGAAGTGTCAGCGCTGGTGGAAACATTTTTCTTACAAACATCGTTAGTCGCAGCTCACTTACGTTATTATAATATCCATGCAGCATGAATCGACCCATGAGAACGTGGCATGGTCGCGTATATAGTTGTCCAGCCATCCGAACTTTAAGTGGCCCAATTGGCGTAATGAACACCGTCATGTACGCTTTCACGTTTGTAAATAATGTTGTGACCTCTACATAGCCTGGTCCAACCTGGAAGACAATATTTGCACCATAATATGCGTAAGCAAGCCTCAAGGCCACAGCAACTGTAAAAATTACTAATCATACTGTTAGAACATGGTTAGAAAATTCCAGCTGTTTGTAGTACCATTTATTCACGCGTTTCCTTATACGTTAATAAGCACCCAAACGTGAAATTATATGCAATGTTAGCCATTATTTTTCTTCCGTTCCCTTGTTTATTTATTTCTTCAGAACTTCTGACAATTCTGAGTTAGCCAATTTAAACCAAAACACTTCCAACTAAGAATGTGCCGTTGGGTTGTTAATTGCTTGTAACAAATCTTAACCAATGCATCCTTTCTAAAAACGTGAATAGGTACGATCACTCTTTATACCCAAGTTGGAACTTCCGTCACACGAATCATAATGAATGTGTAATGTCAGTGATGAAGCATAATGTTATATTTCGACCCAGTCTGGTGTTGAATTTTTGGTAAGAGGATAAGAAAAGAATCGCTATTTGTTCTTTTGAATAAAGGAAAAGCAACAATGATCATACATACACATTTTACAACCTGAAGTCCGTTCGGAATAAAAATTTTTTTGAGAAATTTAAACTGAAATTCAGTGCGAGTCCACGACAAGTGTGGATGGTCTGCATCAGGTTCCCAGGATGTTTTCTGATTCAATTGGACGAAGAATGAGATCCACTTCCTCCAGAAGCCGTCCAAGTCAGCACCCGCAAATCCCATTCGAGGAACGTGTAAATATTCCACATGAAAGTTGTCAGCCAAATTTTGCAGGATGTCCTTTTAATTGAAAACAAAAGCGAGCTTATAAAATCAGCAGTGGGTCTGATGCACACAAGAGATGCAGCCAAGTGAGTATATTAGAACTGGGTAAAATTACGATAGACACGCCAACGACAAAAAAGTTTTATTGCGCGCAATAATTTATCAATAACCGGATTTCGTAATTCCCTTTGCTGTAACTTTGTTGTTGTTATTTTTGTTGTTGTAGTTGTTGTTGTTTTTATGTTTTTTTTTCTCTAAATTTTCTGCGTGCGCAGACAGATTTTCATGATAACAGGTTACCAGATATTTGCCAAGAGGAAGCTTCAACCAAAATTCAATCAACATAAAATCTTACAATAATTTTCTTGCTTACAAATTCAATAGTTTTTTGCGATTGTAACCTCCTTGTTTCTTTGTTTTTCAAGAACAAAAACCAGGAACTAATCCAATTCAAGCAAAAGGTAAGGAAAAACATGGATTGTCCAGCAGCAGATGGGAGACACGTTTACGTGGTGTTTTAAACTTTCCTCCTGAATCTGAGGTACGTCTCTTTGGCAGTATGCAGCGGAGCATTTGAAGTGTGCGCCTTCAATTTTGCAGATGCAATTTTGCAGATAGTTGTAGGTACCCCTGCGCTGTCATGTGACGCGCGTTGAGGTGTCTCTTTGTTTTTAAAATATGAGAAAAATTAAGGTTGAGTTTGCTCAAAATACCTATACTATGATGTGTCCAAATCAACAATCATTTTAGAGGAAATCATGTCTAGAGGTCTCTCAAGCGTCCTAAAGGGCGCACGTCTAAAAATTGGTATTTTGGCAAGAGTTATGTCCTGTCAGAGAATTAGTTTTGAACGACTACCCCCAGAAATCTCAAGCCGAGTCAAATTGACCCGAGGTCCGCTTTCGAGGGTTTTACATATGACGGACGAGGAGGGGGCGAGAAAGCACCAGAGTGTTACCAAAAAGATGAAAATTTCCAAAGAAAGAAAAAAAAAAGCATCTCTTACCTTCAAAACATGGAAATAACAGAGATAAAACATCAAAATCAATGTGTTCAAAGGTGGGTCGATTTCATCCGATTTGGGGCTTTATGTATTAAAAAAGTCTTGGGTATCTATAAGAGTTTCTCTGTAAGGGTTGTGGATAGAAATATTCTATTTTCCGCTGAATAATCTTCTCTGAAAGTCTCTTTCCTTGCTACATGGGTAGTGTCGGACATACGACGCCCCTAAACAAGCAGCTATTGCCCAATTATTCCAACAAGGCATTTCAGGAATGTTTAAAGGCCTTTCAATTTCTCAACATTCCCGTGAAACTAAATAGCCATTGTTGACCCATCAGATTTAGATATGAGTCAAGGTTCTTAGTTATTGCAGATTTTGAGAATTATTACAATACGGGGGCTTTTAAAAACATCATACTTCTCTCTAACGTTTTTTGAACAAGACGTTTTCCCGACGACGACCCGCCACATACGTGCACCCTAATGATGCTGCTTCAATCTCACCTCAGTATGCGCATCCATTAAATATTCAAAGCGTCCGACAAACTTGTATGCCCCAGAACTCGTTATTTCCTTCAATGGTTGTATTTCGTAGGATGGCTCCTCTCCCTCAGCGTGATACCACACGAAAATGATGTGGTTCACCTCTACTGACCTCCAAGTAGTAGGCACTTTCGCACTGTCTGGAAGTGAAAGCAACTAAAATTATCACCAATGAATAATTAAGCTCTCTCAACAAGAAGTTATGGAAACACTTTTACTTAGAACTCCGGGATCTATCTAAGGTCCAATATGGTTAATATTTTTCATGGACCCGCATGCATATTCTTGAAACGAATAGCTCGTTGAACAAAAAGAGAAAAAACGTTGAACACATTTTTTGCGAAAGCCTTGTCAACACTACTAGCAAAAGTTCACGGAACTTGGCGCGAAAGTTAAGTTCCGTAAACCTATCGCTGTGTGGATAAGGCCTTCCATTCAAATGAAATGAATGAAAATATTATGAAAGAACAAACATAAATGTGGTCTAATAATTTTAACTTCCGCCGCCGCGCCGCGCTGACAGTACTGTATTTGGCGCAATGCGCGAAGTATTCCTACAGTCTTGTATGCGCTATACGTTTACGCCGACCGCTGCTGCACTCACTGTGTTTGACGTAATGCGTGAAGTATTCATGCAGTCTTGTAGGCGCTATGCGTCTCACGCCGCGCCGCCCGCTGCGGACCGCAGCGACCGCGCTGTCTTTGACGCAATGCGTGAAGTATTCATGCAGTCTTGTAGGCGCTACTGTGTTACATGCCGACTGTCGCGCCGCGCCGAGGGTTTCTCCTTTTCATCTCAAGTTCTCGTCATCACTGCTGTCTGCGCCGCGTCGTTCAAAGCCAAATTCCGTGTTCGGTTTTTCTCTTAGTCTTAACTCGACTAATGAATGATGCTGTCTCTTGTATTACAGAAAGACGACAAAATTAGAGAATACTTTCAGGAAATGAGAGATTTTGTCACCTTTTTTCGTTTGTAATTTTTTTTCTAAATCCGATTTTTCTTTATAGCTACATTTAAAAAAATTGCAAAATTTGCCGCCATTGGCCGCGGCCGACGTGGCCACCCCCTTAATACGGCCCTGCAAAGTTATCGCTTGAATACATAGAGTTGCTATGTGCTGGAACGCCGATGAAGTCAATCCTTGAAAGGTGCATTCTTAGCCCTATGTTCGTCGAAAAAGAGAACCAAACGGCATTTTAACACGGTGTCTTAACGGAAGAATTGCGGGCCGCGAGTGGTTTTGGGGATTTACTATAAAAATCGATAACTACTTTCGCGAATTCCGGCAAAATATCTTGACCGAAATCATAACAAATTAATAAATGTTTGAAAGCCCGGTTTGTACGAAATACATCTTTTTTTATCTATATTTTTCAAGTGAAGCCTCGAGCTGGGATTCTCCGCATGTGGCATCAGCAGTCGCTGCACACTAATCATAGAAGCACTGGACAGTAAAACAAACTCAAAAAGTGACTTCTGCGCTTCAGTACTTAGCGACTCTATTGTACTCTACTTCTAAATACAAGCCAGTCACTGGTCCAGTTGTCCTCTATTTCTTTAACTTGATCCTGGATCCTGATCCCTGATATTTTTTTTTTCCTCCTGCCTTTTTCGATACGTGGGATATTCTTCCAGTTTTCCGTTTCTGCACTGAATTGCCATCCATGGGAAGGACATTCCAAGCAATCGTTCCTAGGTGTCCCTTCTACGTCCACGTCTCCTCTTAAATGGATGCAACACGCATTGACTACATGTACTTTTCCATCTGACCCCCGAAAAACAGCAAAATTCTCGCCTGAAAAACACAAGAAAACACGAATATAATCACTCTTATGTCGATAAATCTTGCTGTAAATGTTTTCCATCAAACTGGAGATACTTTAAGCTCCAGAAAAATTAAAAATACGCCCGTATGGTGCTTGGAGGGTTCTCCCCGCCCCCAGAAACGTTGCAACCTTATTTAGATCGATTCCAGTAGATAGGTAAATAGATAGATACACCAGGAGACCACTGTGAAGGCTACATCGCCCCCCCTCCCCCCCCCTGTAAATTATCCAAGCCATACTCATAAGATTAGGTTGATGTTCAATTCTTTTAGGACCTCCCAAATAGTCCAGGAGGTCGCTGTTATTTAGATGTCCCCCTTCAAGATCGACAAATTTTTTGACAATTTGCAGTTTCAGAGAGGGGTCGGGAAGGGGAGTCACCATGTCCGTCTTGTGACAGTGAAATAGTGAAATTCCATAGAGTACATAAAGTCGTAATGTAAAAGGGAGAGCTGGCGCCATGTTCTGCTCGATGAATTCCGAGCCCGGTGTGCGCCGAGTTCGGGTCGCTTTTTCGATACATTTTCGATCCAAAATGGCGGTGTGGAATACGTGGTAATTCCTATCTCCTTTGTTGTTGTTGTTGTCATCGGATGGCCCGGTACCCGTGTATTGCAAACAATCGATTATGTATCGAAAAAGTGACTCGGCGTCACACAGGAGTCTCGGAATTCGGGACATGGAAAATGCTCTAAAGTGGCGCCAGCGCAGCTCTCCCACTTACATTACGACTCTATGTACTCTATGTGTTTAGATGATTAATGGGAGGGGGTTGATCAATGTGAGGTTATGTTTCATTGTTTGAATCCAATTCGATACAATCGATGCCGACTGTGACGTGGCACTAATTGGGTCTATCTTTGTAGATTTTGATCAGATATAGAGGTGGGCTCTTAGGGTAGCGTGGGATATCCCTCCGTTACGGTCTCATTGTCGTGAGCTTTTTTTAAGCTTTCGACTTGATTTTAGAGAAAACCTAAGGCATCATCGTGTTTCTAGTGAAATACCTAAGTGGAGGTCCTTGAATCGTGAATCCCTCACGGAAATAAGAGCTCCTTTCCAGGAAGTACTGTTTGTGAAGGTTTATTTGGATCTGCACTTTGAATTAGCAAGTTTGATGAACAACGCGACTAAAAATTGTATGCAAAACTAATAAGCCTTGCATCTCAGATATAGAAGATATGTGACTGTTGGACTGATCCTCTGATAAAGAAAATAAATTCTCAAAAATATTTCATGCTAAAATTATGTACCCAAAGCTGTGACGTATTTAACTTCGTTACGGCCAATTTCTGAGGATTCGAGTATACCAAACCATCCGTTTGGATATATTGGAAGTTTTCCAGACCCTCGTTCTTGTTGCAATCGACTTCTGAAATGCTCTTTGGCCATCGCATCATTTTTTGCGGGAAGTCGGAAATATCTATCACTCCTCTCCCCGGTCAAATCCTTGTCATACGAAAATCAGAGAGAAAAAACATTAATTCCATTGTAGGCATATTTTAACATTACAACATTTACACATTGACAAGCCTAATAAAAGTATAGTCTTATAACGCAGCCTCTGGCGCAAATTGATAAAAGCTGCCCGGAAACTGTTAGGGAAAATGTGAAGTTACTTTTTACAGTGGGTTCATTTAAGGGGAACGGTTTTGAAAGTTGTGATTCTGACAACTGCTAAACGTTTTAAAGTAGTTTAAAACCTCTTTTTTCATTAGACTTCTGAAGAAGGAAGAAAACGGACACGTTTTGCCGGACAGAAGAGTTTCTGAGTGTATATATTTTGCTGCTCTACAGTTTCACTGAAGCGAGGGGGGGGGCGGCTTTTTTAGAGTCCTTTAGAGAGGGGGCAATTTATTTTTGATTAAAAGGGCAGCTCTAGCAACAAAGTCGGTTCAAACTAGGAACCGTGGTTTCCAAAATTAAATTATCTACAGCAATTGAGACGGAAATCATACGTCGGAATAGCTTAGGAGACCCAAATACCTTCGCTCCTTTGACGAAAGGGTGTATCTCGATTTTCGCATGAGCCCAGAGGAGCACTGAGTTAAACGGAGAGCAGGGCTCAAACGGAGGGCAGTGAAATCGAGATACATCCTTACGTCAAAGGAGCTACGATGTGTGGATTTCTCAGCAATTTTGTCGTGTCAAGTAGCGAGGTTTGTAAAAAATAAACGTAGCTTCTTACGGAAATTAAATTTAGTGGTCGACTGAGGAGGTAGAGGTAGTACAAGATATAGATGACTCCAAGAGATAGCAAGACGAAAAGAGGACCCGTTTTCGAGAGTAAATCAACGTAGACAGTGAAATACCGCATACTGAAGGCACTCCAACTGCCCATCGTCATTGCAACTTGTGTAAGAATATCTAAGATAATAGAAGAGCGAATGGTACGATAAAATTGCGTTACAACAAATTTTATTTAAAAGGCAATCGGACGGCGAAACTGCGAAAATGCACATCTCCTTTGGGGTGTTTCGACATCTTCGCTCCCACTTAGTTTAATTTTAAGAAGAGTGAATGGCTTGAAATTTTTAAAGAATATTCTTCACGTACACAAAAAATTCGGGGAAGTCAAAATACAACAATAGGTGGTTTTTCATTCCGTAAAAAAGTATGGTCGAAAGTCTGCAACAACGCAAACTGAGATTCTGCAGCTGCACCGTCGGACTATTCATTGCCATGTGTGGCAACTTCAATGTGGTACGGAATATAATAAAAGAATATGAACTATGCATAACGATTATTCCGATATCGGAACTTGGCTGTTTTGAAAACACCTTCAAATGCGGCGTGATACCTCACGCATTCCGGAGAGTTCAAATAGTTGTATCATTGCGCCGTAAGAATGTGACGGAAGATTTAAATGGAGATCGCCTCCATGCACGCTGGGCTTGTCGATTTCCTCTGAAATTTTTGCAGAGGTGAATGCATAGCTGAAGTGCGCTTCAGCTAGAATTGTATTCACAAATGGGTGGTTTTTCTACGAGGATTAAAAATAAACAAGTGGCACGGAATATAACAAAAGAATATGAACTATGCAAAACGATAATCCGGGTATCGGAATTTGGCTGTTTTGAAAACGCCTTCAAATGCGGCGTGATACCTCACACATTCCAGAGAGTTCAAATAGTTGTATCATTGCGACTTAGAAATGCGACGGAAGATTTAATTGGAAATAGCCTCCATGCACGCTGGGCGTGTCGATTTCCTTTGACGTTTTTGCAGTGGTGAATGCATAGCTAACGTGCGCTCTACCTAGAATTGTATTTAGCCAATGGGTGGTTTTTCTACGAGGATTAAAAATAAACGAGTGGCACGGAATATAACAAAAGAATATGAAGTATGCATAACGATTATCCGGGTATCGGAACTTGGCTGTTTTGAATACGCCCAGTGTGCATGGAGGCTATTTCCAATTAAATCTCCCGTCGCATTTCTAAGGCGCAATGATACAACTATTTGAAGTCTCCGGAATGTGTAAGGTATCACGCCGCATTTGAAGGCGTTTTCAAAACAGCCAAGTTCCGTTATCGGAATAATCGTTTTGCATAGTTCATATTCTTTTGTTATATTCCGTGCCACTCGTTTATTTTTAATCCTCGTAGAAAAACCACCCATTTGCTAAATACACTTCTAGCTGAAGCGCACTTCAGATATGCATTCATCACTGCAAAAACGTCAAAGGAAATCGACACGCCCAGCGTGCATGGAGGCTATTTCCAATTAAATCTTCCGTCGCATTTCTAAGTCGCAATGATACAACTATTTGAACTCTCCGGAATGTGTGAGGTATCACGCCGCATTTGAAGGCGTTTTCAAAACAGCCAAATTCCGATACCCGGATTATCGTTTTGCAGAGTTTATATTCTTTTGTTATATTCCGTGCCACTTGTTTATTTTTAATCCTCGTAGAAAAACCACCCATTTGTAAATACAATTCTAGCTGAAGCGCACTTCAGATGTGCATTCATCACTGCAAAAACGTCAAAGGAAATCGACACGCCCAGCGTGCATGGAGACTATTTCCAATTTAATCTTCCATTAACATTTTTGCAGTCATTAATGTGCTTAAGCGCGCTTTAGCTAGAATTGTATTTAGCAAATGGGTGGTTTTTATTGGACGATTATAATTAAACAAGTGGTTAGAAATGGAAACAAAATAATATGAACTATTCAAAACGATTATTCCGATAACGGAACTTGGCTGTTTTGAAAACGCTTTCAAATGCGGCGTGATACCTCACGCATTCCGGAGAGTTCAAATAGTTGTATCATTGCGCCGTATGAATATGACGGAACATTTAATTGAAATAGCTTTCATGCAGGCTCACCACATCCCATCTCGGGCCTTGGTACCAGTTTTAAGGTCCGGGCCCCAAGCACGGAGGGGGGGGGGGTTCGAGAGGCATCCCTTGAGAAATTTTAGAATTTATACGACTAATCGGACGCATTTTTAAGCTTCCATAAAGAATTTTTCCATCAATTTCAGCGGAATATTTTTTTTTTCTTTATATTTTTAGCACAAAATACTTGCGAATTGTTGCATTCATAACATCTGGAAAATGTTTATTTCTTTATTTATTTTTTTTGAGGGGGGGCATATGATACTATTTTCAGTTCTATGAGGGCTTCTTGGACTCCCCCTTCGTTTGTCTATGGCAAGGGAGTTGAGCCATGAGCCATTGAAGTCGAGAATGCCCAGACTGGAGACTCTTAGCATCTGACGACGGAAGAAAATGAAACGCAGTTACTAAAAATAACCCTCTGTACTGAAAATCTTGAAAGTAGATAGAAATTTTCCAAGAAGTATACTTCTTTGAAAATTTAAGAAGAATTCTACAGTGCCCCAGCGTGTTTCTGTAAATCTATTCACTTTTTGCGAAATTTTTAGGGTAAATTTTTAGGGTAAATTTTTCACTTTTTCCTACGAAACAAGGGTTGCATGTGAATTCGTAGTGGTTTTTCACGAGTAACACGGGCCCCGGTACCAGGGACCCAGTATCCCCCCCCCCTTTCCCCTATGGCGGGCCTGCAATGCACTCTCAGTTTTATACATCACTATATATGTACACAATTACACAATGAGATACTCTAAGAAAGGTACCTTCCTCTGACGAGAGTGTCCAAATTGAATGCATTTCCAGCGCGGTTTTCTCAGGCGGAGAGTTTAGAACAATGAATGACACGTTTCGTTCGTGAATGGCGTTTGAAAATAGAGACGAGGATTGGAGCACGAAAGAAAATACGGAAGTACATACGCGAGAGACTTTAACTGTTACACCCCAATCATCCATATTTGCATATTCGCACCAGGTACTACTGTCTCGAGCTAAAAATAAGTCGGTTTTCCGAAAACTATAATTCAGTCATTTACATTAGCCTTCAGTTATAATATAATTCATGTATTTCTTGTAATTTTATCGTCGCGCAAGATAATATCAATTTTTTTAAAAATATTTCCTAACTCTTGGCTCACAGCTGAGACTTGCCTTCTTATTTTACCCGGAAATTTTTCCGCAAATGACAACAATTCCACCGCGAAACGCTGACGATTCCCCTTTCATGGATGTTTTCGTGCAACCCAAAAGATAAATATGTAAAAGTATGTACATAAATGATGCACGGTGAGCATTCCGTGGAATGCGCTAATACTGTCATCACTTCTTTTCTTCTATCGGAAAAAATAAAATATGAGCTGTATATTATTACTTATCATTAATATAAACTTCGAAGGATTCAGACTTTCAGTGAGTCTACCTTTTTCTATTTCACTCGAGAGGTTGCCAGATTGTGCGATAAATGTGAATATTTTACATGGATTTGAATTGGGAAAAGTGCTAAAAAAGAAACTTCTCTGGCAACAATAGAGTCCGGGAGGGACGAAAGGCTGCCTTCCCGGGAAACCCCATGATTTAGCCGGAAATGTCATTAAAACAATTGATTCCGTTTAAAGCATCAATTGTATACTAGTGGAAAGCTATTTTAAAATAATAATTGTAAATGGACACAAATGCTACAGAAAGGGAAAAAGGAAAGGGAAAGGAAATGAAATGAGGATATGATTACTAATATGCAATCTGAGAGAATAAAACAGAAACATCAGAGAAATTTATATGCGATGAAAGTATAAGAAAAAAACATGAGTGGGCTCATTGCGATTCGGAACTCGAACTATAATATCGTTGAGCAGTTTTTAGACCCCTATGCCAACGATAATCTTCTTAAGAGGTAGAGATGAACTTTTGCTATTTCAGCAAGTCAAATCGCGGAAGGAGATCCATGGATCGTCTTTTTCCGCCACCCGATGGGATGACGTCCCAGTCAAATGCGTTTTTGAAGAAATGATCGATCCCCATCATCACTTCATCTCCAAACATCTATTCATGTGCAAAGGATGGCACGCTCCGGCAACAAGGTTCTGTGACGAAATCATTTTTGCCTCTAGAATCTCCAAAATGTATACATCTTAGTGATCAAATGTCCAATCACTGAGAAAAATGGCTCGCGGAGCGAGCCGAATGTCACTNCCGAGTGATTGGGGGTCCAGGGGGCGCAGCCCCTTGGCTGGCCGTGACGGACGCGCAAAGCGCGTCCAGAACGGCTAGTACCAATATGAATGTATAGCAAATACAGTGTGCAGTATGTTGCATGCAGTACACTTTTCAGCATGTGTGCGATTTCAGTAAGCATGTGCTAAAATGGATGGAGGTTCTTTGTGTGCGAATATTTTTTTTTTTTTTTTTTTTTTTTTTTTTTTTTTTTTTTTTTTTTTGATACCTTTGAGATACCTGCTCACACCAGAGGAAGAAAGCAAGTGGGAGATCTCACTAATTATATTTACCTACCGCATGATGTTCATATCAATGGCCTCCGCGGTTTGACCAAAATAGGAGGGTTGATTTTATAGCTTTTTCAATGAATGCTTGAATTAAGCGATTTTGCTCTAAAGCTCTAACATTAATTTCTCACCAAAAAGTCAATTTTGCAAGTTGTTTACATTTTTAACGTGATATGCGTGAAAATTAAATTGATGGTCTGAGCCCTTAGTAAATTAACGGTCTCAATTTCCTGAGTTTTCATACCTTTCTCACCCTCGTAATGCCCTTACTGTAAAACAAATTGGCGCTTAATTTAGGTTTTTTTATGCTCATAATAGTTTTAATGTTCTTAAAATCTTTAATTCCTTGAATAAAAAATGAATAGACAAGACAAAGAAAAGACTATAGTTTAACCCTTTATTTATAGGCCCGCAAAGGGTAAATATTGAGCATTTCTTTTCCTATCTTTCTTTCAGTAACCATTCACGTTGAAAATACCACATTTGAAATTCAATATCAAAGAGAGTAAAAATCCTGCTTCTAATCTATAGAGTCCCTTTATACTGAGAGTCAAGACAATTCGGCTCATGGATGTCACAAACGGGAATAAAGATTACAGAAATTGAACGTTTTTCGTAATCTTTGATCGGCCCATTCTCAAATGCCTTTCTCCGTTCCTCCTCTCATTCCGTTTGTTCCTTGCCGAACCCGTAATTCCCTGGTCCATTCCAGATTATAATATTTGCAATTGGTGAAAATGTAATCTTTATTCCCGTTTGGGACACTGTGCTGGAGGCTTAAAATACGGGAACCAATCAGAAATGGATTCAAATTGTCTTAACTCTCAGTATAAAGGGACTCTACTAATCTAATCTTAAGCAAATAAGAAAAAACATATACAACCCACTCATAGGCAAGCTCATAGGTTCTCGATATGGTGGCCCTGAAAAAGGCCGGCTGGATGCGCTGTCACGTTGGCTGGCGCGAAGGCGCAGTGACAAGTGTTGAATGGGTTGCAGGTTTGTGTAGCCGGGTCGGAGAGGGACTGACCAATGAGATGTGATTAGGAGGATGTGTCGAGCATCGGTGATCTATCATCTTCTATTCTAATGGGCCAAGAGATGCCGGTGATTCAGCCCCGCAGCCAATAGGGTGTGAGCGAGAGCCGCACTGCTCGCGCTGGATGGTGATTGGCTACCGTCACACACCAATAACAAAATGAAAAATCTGCGTGCGATGGCGCGCGTATCCGTGTGGATCGATTTTCATATAAGCCGCCGTGCGCGCATCAGAGCCGCGCCGGCGCATCGATCGTTGTTAATTGTTGATGATTGTTGATTTTATTGTTTATTTACTTTCCTGTCTCGATGTGACCAGTTATCAAAATAAACTTATGATTACAAGTCTTCGGGGAATCTTTAATTCTTTATTCTAATTTATTACATCCAAGTTCTCCTAAATGAAACTAATGTAAGTTACATCACCTTGTACTTTTAGTAGTTTCATGTTCAGCATGATTTCAAACTGAACCATAACATTGAAGATAATTGTATCAATTACATTAGAATGTAATTTTACCACTATCACATGATGATGCCTAGGCATGTCAAAAGTATCAGTTAAAAATGGCAGTAGTATCATTCTCTTTTCTTTTTTTTTTCAATCATAAAGTAGCGCGGAACGAAGTTCAAGAGAGTGAAAACAATTAGATTACTACACTGATCATCCATAATTTCATCTGTCTCCTCTTCAATTTTTTCTCGGGTTACACAATGTTTTGTGCCCATCCAGCCAATGAAGTCATGTAGATCCGTTGCGAGAAGGCGATTACAATCCGCTTGTGTTTCGCACTCCCTGGAATCTTCTAGTTGCGCAGATAAGTTTGCGTTGCAGTGACTTTCAGTTTCTTCATCGGCACATCTGAACGAACGAGGAACTCAAATAAATGCGGTGAAAAAAAACTTAGGAGCAGGCCCGCATCATTTAAAAATGAAAGTTGAATGACTTTTCCTATAAGGTTATAGTGGCCCTGTTTAAGATTGCTTTCATTCGAAGTGAGATTTTTTTCATTAACATCGCATTCGAACGAAGTTTCATCTTCTTTCATATTGAATGACAAACATTAGAAGTTTGCGTGTTAAATCCACCTATATTTACGTCTCCTTCTCCTTTGAAGGAAATACTTTCGGCATAGCTGTTGAATGACAAACATTAGAAGTCTGCGTGTTAAATCCACCTATATTTACGCCTCCTTCTCCTTTGAAGGAAATACTTTCGGCATAGCCAGTACAGAAAATGTCAATGGTACATGACTTTCAAAATCCTGAAGAGAGGTTGACCGATATCTTCAGATTTCCCCTTTGTTCCCCCTGATCATAAACATCACTGGGCAACGTCTGTGTGCATAGGGCTCGGTAGATCCTGATCGCGAGTATCAGAGGAATCAGAAAATATTTCATGTATATATTTATATTAATATTTCATGGCTCGGAGATTTTTCTCTTTCTAATCTTGGGCTCAAAAACTTTTTCCACATTAGGGCTACCCGAGGTTGAATAATCTGGTTTTGCCGGTAGGTAAGCTAACAGTAAGTATAGGTTATCGATATTCTTGCGTGACTTAATTTAGAAAAATTAAATCTTTGGTATTCCGAAGTTCATAGAAATGCACCTCCAACAGACTGGCCGTTTCCTAATTTGAAGGCACTAACACCCTCCCATTTAATTTGACGATGAGTCAAAGTTAATGTTCCGATTCAATGCTTCAACTTTATCACAAATATTTTCTATTACTTGCGGAGCAGACATCTCCGTATAGAACTCAACGTCAGTAACATTCAAATCATTTTCCATCATGTTTTTTTCTTGTTTAGTCAGTGGGAGCCAATTTTGCGCTTTTGCCAGGAGATGAAGGCAGCCCCCGAGGGTTGGGCTCCACGGATGTCAAGTGGGGCACCCCCAGGGTTCGGGGGTTATTATTTAGTGGGGGTCTGGGGCCGATTTTCGATTTTTTTGGTGTTTGTTTGATTGACTTACAAGGATCTCTCAAATTTCAATGATTATAATGAACGAAAGGAATGAGTCACTTCACTGGTCGCTATTAATGCAATTTTGGCACTGACAGGCCAGCTCTTTGATCCCCTGTCCCTCATGTTTATAAGTTACCAAGCGTATTTGTGGAAATGATGTGTAATAATGATTCAAGTCACACAAATGAAGTGTTGTTAATTTTGAGTATTAAACAAACGCCCTTAATTGAAGTGTGATCACATTATTACACCATTGAATATTCTAAAGAGGATTTATGGAACTTGTGAAGATACTGACCATTGAAAATTTTTGTCTTCACCACTGGCAAAGGATCATTTCCAAGGTCTGCACTCTCTTCCTGTTCATGCCCTGTTAAGGCGAACAACGAGTGCTCCGCAATAGTCTTATTAAGATCAAGGAAAGATTGGCTACACTCAATAGACTTGAGTGCTTCAGCGTGATCTGGGTTCGATA